CCAAGGGAGGTGGTGCTCTCCCCTACCCTGGGGGTCTTCAAGAGGAGGTTAGATGAGTATCTAGCTGGGGTCATCTAGACCCAGCATTCTTTCCTGCATATGCAGGGGGTCGGACTCGATGATCTATTGAGGTCCCTTCTGACCCTAACATCAGTGAATCTATGAAACAGTTGTCTAAGGTGCTTAAGTCAGCTTCTTTCTTTGTGAGCAGTGTAGGTGTTCAGCAGCTATTATTTCGCTTGCCTTCCAGTAAAGTACCCTACAGAGAGTACTTTGAATTCTGTCTGAAAGAAAAAAAGGCAACCTTTGTTGTACAGGGATGTAAAAGCTGATGTGGCTGTAGCAGTTGCTATCTGCTTTTCTCATGGTAGTTAACCAGCTTCCTTACATACACAGCTGTCCAACAAATAGCCAGCAAATGCGGTCAAAGAAGAGAGGGATTTGCTCATATAGCAGGCAGATTTTTAATATTTAGAACAATGCTCATGCTACTAGGATAACTATCGGAGAGAGACAGCTGAAGACGTTGAGATTGCCAGTACCAGGAATACAGTTCATCATAGTTTCATAGTTGGTAGGGTCAGAAAGGACCTGAGCAGATCATCAAGTCCGACCCTCTGCCATGGGCAGGAAAGAAAGAAAGCTGGGGTCAAACTACCCCATCTAGCCTCCTTTTGAAGAGCCCCAGGGTAGGAGCGAGCACCACTTCCCTTGGAAGTTGGTTCCAGATCCTAGCTGCCCTGACTGTGAAGTAGCGCCTCCTGATATCTAGCCTGAATCTACTCTCAGTCAATTTGTGGCCGTTATTCCTTGTTACTCCCGGTAGTGCTCGGGGGAACACGGACTCCCCATGGCCTGATGGTCCCCCTTAGCCAGTTTGTAGACAGCCACCAGATCTCCCCATAGCCTTCTTTTGTGGAAGCTGAACAGGTTCAGGCCCTGTATCCTCTCCTTGTAGGGCCTGCCTTGCTGCCCCCTGATCCATGCGGGTGGCCCTCCTCTGGACCCTCTCGATGCTGGCCCCATTTCTCCTGAAGTGCGGCGCCCAGAACTGGACATAGTACTCCAACTGTGGCCTGACCAGTGTTGCATAGAGGGGGAGGATCCCTTGGACCTGCTCGTGATGCATCTGTGGATGCATGACAAGGTGTGGTTAGCCTTCCTGACCGCATCCCCGCATTGGCCCCCCATGTTCATTTTGGAATCAGTAATGACACCAAGATCCTTTTCTGCCTCTGTGCTGACTAGAAGGGAGTTCCCCAGCCTGTAAGTATGCTGCTGGTTCTTCGTCCCCAGGTGCAGTGCCTTGCACTTGTCAGTATTGAATCCCATCCTGTTCTCATCTGCCTACCCCTGTAACCTGTCTAGATCTAGTTGCAGCCTGTCCCTCTCCTCCAGCATGCCCACTTCTCCCCACATCTTAGTGTCATCCGCGAATTTGAACAAGGTGCTTTTCACCCCCTCATCCAAGTCTCTGATGAAGATGTTGAACAGTGCGGGCCCGAGGACCAAGCCCTGGGGGACCCCACTGCCCACATCCCTCCGGGTCGAAAATGACCTGTCCACCACCACTCTCTGGGTGTGACCCTCCAGCCAATTTGTGACCCATCTGACTATGTAGGCATCGACGCCACAGTCGCCTAATTTCTTAATGAGAATGGGGTGAGAGACAGTGTCGAAGGCCTTCCTAAAGTCCAGAAAGACTACATCCACCGCGACACCTGTGTCCAAGCATTTTGTGACCTGGTCGTAGAAGGCCACCAGGTTGGTCTGACAGGACTTGCCTCTAATGAACCCATGTTGGTTGCCCCTAAGCATAAT